CAACCTCTGAAAATGGCCTCCAAGGTCCTTAGATAAGTGGTGGAGGTGTGTGGCTATGAGGTGTGGTGCAAAGGGGTCAAGAACCAAAACTTTTGGAGCTCAAAATATGGAGATAGAGAGATGTATATTGTTTGCATTAGCAAAATTTTTGGAACCCTTGCAATGGAAGAGGAGCTCTTCTTTTATAGAGGAAGAAAGGTCCAAGCTTCTCTTAGAAGCTAAAGCAAAAAGGGTCAAGCTTCTTGAGAAAGCTAGAGCAAAGGGGTCAAGCTTCCTCAAGAAGCTAAGAAAGGTCCAAGCTTCTCTTAGAAGCTTGGAGCAAAGGGGCAAGCTTCTTGGAGAAGCTAAAAAGGGTCAAACTTCTTAGAGAAGCTAAAGCAAAAGGGTCAAGCTTCTTAGAGAAGCTAGACAAGAGTTCAAGAGGTTCAAGCTTCCTCAAGAAGCTAAAACAAGGGGTTCAAAAGGTTCAAGCGTCCCCAAGAAGCAAAAATGAGGGGTTCAAAAGGTTCAAGCTTCCTCAAGAAGCTAAAACAAGGGTTCAAAAGGTTCAAACTCCCTCAAGAAAAGGTCTCGGCTAGAAAAAGTGGCCGATTGACCAAAATCAGTGGCCGGCCAACACCTTTGGCCGGTAGCAAGAAAACAGGGCCGGTGGCCTCAAGCCATGGCCGGTGAGGTATGGGGATGGCCAACAAGCCATTCCCTGCCCTCAGAGGCAAAAACCCAAGTGCTTGGTCCACAACCAAGCACAAAACAGATAAGTTAAGAGATCTTGAGGCAAGGCGCGTAGCCGAGACCCCCGAGAACTCAAAACGAACACGAGTATGGATGATCATCGAGTGTTCAAACAATGATATCCAAGTCTTGAGGACGGTCAAAAATGGGGTGTCTACAATGTGGAACGTCAAATCCAAAAATAAATAAATAAATAAGCGCCTCAAGGGCTTACAAATTCCAAGGCTTAAACCTAGTTATACAAAAATGGTCTCTTGGACCAAACAATTATAGCCCTTAGCTAACAAAAATATACCACAACAAAAATAAGAGCTCTATGCTCCCAACACATACGTCCATGCCCTAACTTGGCGAGATCACCATGTCCTTTCCTGCACCAAAATCCCATAAGGGTGAGTATAAAGTCCAATAGGAAATTCTTAACAAAGTATATACATTTTATACAAGTTTCACAAAACAAAATGCACATGTTATGCTATGCTTATTGAAAGAAAATCACATTTTCATCTCTTCGAAAATCATCATGCTCAATAATAACTTAAAATCTCAACAATTTAGAAATTTTCAATTTAGTTCAAGGGGCAGTAAATGCGACTCAGGTAATCCCTAGGTAGGTGTCTGCAAGTAGGCATAACTAGAACTACCAAATCCCCACTTCATCGGTAGCTAACCGGAAGGCACGTGGTACCTCCTTCGTGCTTGTTTTCGGTCTTTCACCCTGGACACTCCAGACAACTTAATCAATTTCATCTACACCTCCTATCCGGACTTACCAACATATTTACCCCAAAACGTTTCAATAATTCTCGTTTTACAATATTTCTTTCTCAATGCAAAATTTCAAATCCCAATTCAATATTTATAACAAGGAAGGTATTGAAGCGCCAAAGGAACAATATTCCATGCAATGCAATAATCAACCATGCAATGTGATAATTATCCATGCGATGTAACATCCTATCATTTACAAAGTTTCCCCACAAAGGTTCCATTTGTGATCACAATTTCAACTTCCCTTTCCAATACATCTCGACATATATCACATAGAAATTTGATAACTATCCAAGTGTAGCAACAATTCCACATCTCATGTGTTCTCAACAATTTGTCATTTCATGATTTTATATATATATATACTTAAACAATAGATTCCAAAAATCCAATAATTCTCATATGCTAAGAAGAATTATCATTTTGTATACAATAATATGAAATTTCCACTCATTCATTCATTTAACACAAGAAAATCCATAGATTCTCAACATCTTCCAAAAACCCTCATATTTCTAGGTTTTTCATCAAAACAAGACATTTCCTCATCCCTTGGTGGAATCTCACAAAAATCCTCTTTCTTAAATCAATGTGATTCAAATCTTCAAAAAAATCACTTAAAGAAAACAAGTGGTGAACCCATTTTCAAAACCACCAATATTCTTGAGCCAAAAACCACATTTTAATGCCACCAATGGAAATCTTGAAATTTACATAAACTTGCAAAAATATATATATAAATCTAAGAAAATCCTTACCTCAAGCTTTGGTGAAGAAAAGAGAAGAAATCCTCAAATTCGACAGTATTGAAATCCAATCTCCACCTCACAAAACGAAGCCCTCGGAGAGTTTTCCAACTTTAATCAACAAACTAAGGTCAAAATATTTATGGGTTTGGAGAAATCAAAGATCTAGTGAGGTTTGATGTAGGAAATGTAGAGAGAATGAGGATAAAAGGGTGTTTAGAGAGAGAGAGAGAGAGAGAGAGATGTGTAAAAAGTGATATACACATAGTTCAAGAAGAGAGAAAAGCAGAAAATTTCGGACTCAACGACTCCCGCACATGCGGGACTCACCCCCGCACATGCAGTGCTCCTACTCTCTACCTCTTCCCGCAGTCATATATAATGTAGTAGGCAACCCAGAAATTCCCCTGATTCCCGCACGTGCGATCTGACCTTCCGCACGTGCAACCCCCTTCCCGTACGTGCGGCCCAAGGCCTCACACGTGCAGCTCTGCCCTTCCAGCTAGGAAACTCTTCAGCTCAACCCAAGCCACTTTGGACCCAACATTGCACCTTCCGAAACATATGAAACTCGACACAAAAATAAATGAAAGCAAGGATTTGAAACAAGTTTCCAAATACAACAAAATGAATCGTTAACAAGACTCCAATCATCACATTTACGAAAAGATGTGAAACAAAATAATATATAGTAAAAATGAGTAAATTGACATTTTTGCCCTTCAAAAGTGACTTGTTGTTCAATTGGTGAGAGAGTGAATTTATCTGACATCACTACAAAGAGACCAAAATTTAGAGACAAATTTTTTTTTTATTTTTTTGGCACCAAATATTTTTGTTGTGAAAGGTATCATTATATTTTTAGTAACAAAAATTGGACATTAGTAATGAATTATTATCCTTTTGGGACCAAATTTTTTGTCTCAAAAAACAAATCATTTTGAGATCAAATTATTTTATTCCTAAAATTCTATTTGTTAGTGACATTTTCAAAATTTTGTGGCTAAAAGCCTTGTTTTTGACTTTTCGGGACAACCTTTTAGCGATTATCCTTATGACGATGGAAATTAGTCCCTAAATATTTTTTGCAGCAAAATTTTCACTTTTAGAAGCCAAAACACTTGATCTCTAAAACTCTTATATGTTATAATGCATGCTGCCAAGTAAAGTGTGCAGCAGAGAGCTAACAACATGTAACCTATATGCATGGGAAATAGGGGCTTGTTGCTACATAATATTGGACTTCATATAATGGACTTCACCGATTTTAATATGTAAAAATATTTTATAAACAAAAAATGTACAAATTGGACTTCACCAATTTTGTATTTTGAAAAAATTCTCAAAAAAAATATAAAATAAATAAATAAATAAATAATTGTTACAATTTGATTGACGAAAATGTTTTGTTGTAACTTGTGGAATGTAATAATTGTATTAATTTTTTTTTTTTTTAAAAGTCTTTTCAAAACTCATTACGAAACTATTTTCACAACTTCCCTAGTAATTGTAAATATTTCCAAACTCTTTTCAAATCTTCATTCAAAACTCATGAACACATCAATACCAAATTCTTTGCAAAACTCTATTTTTCCCAAAAAATATATAAAAATAAATCAAATTTTGGACTTCGCCAATTTTGTATTCCAAAAAAGTTCTCATAAATAAAAAACTATTAATTTATGAAAATATTATGTTGTAATTTGTGAAATGTAATCAGTTTGTTTGGTTTGGTTTTTCAGGATTTACTTATCAGAAAATTAGAATTTTAAGTTTTTTGTATTTTTTTTGCACTGAATTATTTTAATATTCTAAACAATTTATTTAAGTATTAGATACACGTAATATAAATACACTGAAAAATAGAATATTTGTGAAACGAATCTTTAGAAAATTAAATAGCAAAAAAAAAATGTTAATCAATGCAGTTATTTTCTGTGTTGTTGTGTAATTATTAATTTTGTAATATAATTAACAAAAAGGAGGGGTTCGGTCAGAAAGGAGGGGCTCGGTTAAGAATTTGAAAAATAAATAAAATAACAAAAAGGCGGGGTAAAAAGGTCATTTCACCTCTTCTGTGATTGCAACATAGACTTAGGCGTGTATGATCAAATTGTAGGTTTTTGTTATTTTTTTAATAACTTTTTGGCTTTTAAACTAAAACTTTCGCATGCCAAATAAGGCCTAAATACTAACACAATTCATAATTAGTACAAATAAAATCTCATAACTAAACACCAGCATAATTCATAATTAACAAAGTACCTACCATAGAATTTTGGTGTATGTCCTATAATGTGGATTTATTATCTAATAGGTCATATGATAATTAATAATATTTTTCATCAAACACTATTAAAAAGTTACTAATTGTTAATTTTTAGCAAGAGTTTAATTTTTTTTTTTACAAAAACGTTACTAAATATAAATTTTAGCGATAGTTTAAAAAAAAATCATCATAAAAAAGTCACTAATTTTAAAATTTTAGTAACAGTTTAAAAAATTTATCATAAAAAAGTCACTAATTGTAAGTTTAAGCGACAATTTATAAAAATCGTAATAAAAAAATATTACTAATTATCAATTTTTAGTGATAATTTTATTTGAATTAGTTTTTAATAAGATTTAATGAAAATTAAGTCTAACTATTATGACCTATTAATAATTTATTGTAAAATTTTTCCAATATAAAGGAATGAATTAGACTAATAAATCAGTACCCACTTCCTCTCATCCTTCTCTTCTCTTAATCCTTCGTACTTGTTTCTCCTCCTTTACAACAAAACAAAACCAAAAAAAAAAAAATGGAGCGATTGATATGGTTGTTCCAATTCCTTTTGTATTTCATGCAATATCATCAGGTTTCTTGTTCATCATCTATCTCTTCTTTTTCTACTTGTACACATCATTTGTGTCCACATGACCAGAGGTTTGCATTGTTGCAATTCAAGCATATGTTTACTATAAACAGCTCTGCATCTGCTTCTTGGGCGTGTGGCGATTTGGCTTCTCCAAAGATGTTATCTTGGAACGAGAATTGTACTGATTGTTGTTCGTGGGAAGGAGTCACGTGTGATGGTCTGACGGGTCACGTGATTGGGCTTGACCTCAGTTGTAGCCAGCTCTATGGCAGTATCCATCCTAACAGTAGCCTCTTCCAACTCTCTCACCTCCAAAACCTCAATCTCGCCTTCAATCACTTCAATTACTCCTTCATTCCATCAGCATTTGGTCACTTTGCCAATCTGACACATCTCAACCTATCTGATTCCAGTTTTTCAGGCTCAATCCCATCAGAAATTCGCCACCTGTCCAAACTAGTTTCACTCGATGTCTCCTATATGGGTATTAGACTTGAACCGCACAATTTCATAATGATGCTCAAAAACCTAACCCAATTGCAAGAACTTGTCCTTCCTGATGTAAACATGTCTTCGGTTGTACCGATGTCTTTGACGAATATGTCTTCTTTGACATATCTTGATCTTAGTTCCACCTGGTTGCATGGGAAATTACCGGATAACATTTTTCACCTTCCAAACTTGCAAACTCTCTGGTTAGCAGGCAACCATGATCTAACTGGTAATTTACCTAAAGTAAACTGGAGTAGTAGTAGTTCCCTCCAGCAGTTGTATCTCGGGTTTTCGAGTTTTTCTGGAGAATTACCTGATTCAATTGGCTATCTCAAGTCTTTGAATCTCTTGGATCTTGCCAATTGCAAATTCTCTGGGTCCATTCCTGGTTCAATTGGCTATCTCAAGTCTTTGAATTCCTTGGATCTCAGCGATTGCAAATTCTCCGGGTCCATTCCTGATTCACTTGGGAACCTTACACAGATCACTACTATACACCTACAGGGAAATAGTTTCAACGGTCAGATCCCATTTACTCTCTCAAATCTTAATCTGCTCATTTCCTTGGATCTCAGTGGTTGCAAATTCTCCGGGTCCATTCCTGAATCACTCGGGAACCTTACACAGATCACTGATATAGAGTTATGGGGAAATAGTTTCAACGGTCAGATTCCATTTACTCTCTCAAATCTTAATCAGCTCATTTTCTTGGATCTTTTTGGAAATAATCTCCACGGAAAAATTCCTAATTTTATTGGTAAGCTGGTAAAGCTAGAGTTTTTAGGACTTGGAGGTAACAATTTCAATGGTCCATTTCCATGTGGGGTAGCCAACCTGACAAAACTTGCTATGTTAGATATATCAAGTACTGAACTGATGGGTCCCATTCCCTCTAACATTAGTGGGCTACACAACCTACAAGCACTTTACTTGCACAATAACTCACTGATGGGTCCCATTCCCTCCAACATTAGTGAGCTACGCAACCTACAAACACTTTACTTACACGATAACTCACTGAATGGGACACTACCATCTTGGTTGTTGAATCTTCCATCATTGACAGAATTAAACTTGGGTAGTAATCGACTAACTGGCCAAATTCCTGAGTTCAAGCATAAATCAAAATTGATGTACATTGACTTGAGTCATAATGAACTACGTGGCCCCATTCCACAATCAATTTCAAATCTTGTGAATTTGACACAACTTGATCTTTCGTCAAACAATTTTAGTGGTGTTGTGGAGTTACAAACATTCTCAAATCTAAAAAATCTTGTAATTCTTAATTTTCGTTTCAACTTGATTCAGGGACCACTCCCAGTTCTGCCACCCTCTGTATCTTCCTTCCTCTTCTCACAAAATAAACTCACCGGACAGATTCCTTCTTCAATTTGCAATGTGAGTTCCCTTTACATCCTTGATTTGTCTCACAACCACTTGAGTGGTGCAATTCCACAATGTTTGGGACACTTCAGCAGTGTTCTCTTTGTATTAAATTTGCGGTTCAATGCCTTTCAGGGGAACATCCCCATGATATTTGGAAAGGGTAATCAGTTGCAAAGTCTTAATTTGAATGGAAATCAATTTGAAGGACCAGTTCCACAATCCTTAGCCAACTGTAGACAATTACAAGTTCTAGACCTCGGAAACAACAAAATAAATGACACTTTTCCATACTGGTTGGGGGCTCTTCCAAATTTACAGATTCTTATCTTGCGATCCAACAAATTTCAGGGTCCAATAGACACTTCCAAGCCAAAATTTCCCTAAACTCCGAATTGTTGACCTCTCCCACAATAAGTTCACTGGTCATTTGCCAGGGAGATATTTCAATTTCTTCAAAAATATGAGGAATAAAACTATGCCAAACGAAAAATATTTGGGTGTTCGATCGTATTATCAAGATTCTGTTACGGTGACGATGAAGGGGTTTGATATTTACTTAACGAGAATTTTGACTGTCTTCACAGCAATTGATTTATCATCTAACAAATTTAGTGGAGATATTCCAAATGTGATCGGAAGGCTTAATTCTCTCATAGTGCTTAATTTATCTCATAATAGCCTTACGGGCCTTATTCCATCATCTTTAGGAGACCTGACAGAGCTTGAATCACTGGACCTCTCTTCAAACCAGCTTATTGGGAAAATTCCTAACCAATTAAAGAGTTTGACATTTCTTGAGGTCTTTAACCTTTCATGGAACCATCTCGATGGACCCATACCGCAAGGTGAACAATTTGATACATTTGGAAATGATTCATACGTTGGGAACTCGGGATTATGTGGGTTTCCATTGTCAAAGGAATGTAAAGATAAGCAGGCACAAGTTCAGCCAGGTGTGCTATTACAACAAGATGGCTCAAATTATGTAAGTGGATTTACTTGGGAAACCGTGGTGATGGGGTATGGCTGTGGACTGGCATTGGGATTGGTTCTTGGATTTCTCATGTTCTTAACTGGAAAACCAAAATTGTTTGTAAGAATTGTTGAAGGGAAAAAGCATAAAAAGGTGAAAATGTTGAGGCGAGGTGGCAGAAGAAATTAGCAAACATGGATAATGCTTTCAGGTATGTGATGCTCATTCTTACTTTTAATAATTTTAATTTGTTAGTTATCATGATTGTATTATACTCTCTGGTACTTGTTGCTTTTTTCTGGTTCTATATCTTTAAAAGTTTACGATCTAATTTCAGAATAAGTAAAAGGTTATTACATATATTCTGCTTGGGATCCTGCCTAATGCAGATACAGTTCTTTTTGTGCAAGAGTAACACTATGAGCAATTCACTCAAGAACCAGCAGTTATACATATAGAACTGTTTCATTGACCACAACCAAAACCAAAATAAAAAATATGTTTTGCTGTTATTAGCTATTAAACCGTTGCTAATGTTAATGAAGTTAGTTTCCAAAGCTAGTTTTGTACGGAAATAAGCTATATGATTGGATTTTCTATTGGTCAATCTTGATATATTTTGCCAAACACATTAAGTAGATTATTACAATTTTGTTTTCTTCAATTTATGCTATATATCCAGATCATCTTGATAATTGATTCGCTGCACAAAAAAAAAATCTGGTGACTTTGGAAATCTTCATAGTTCACCTTTAGAAGTAGCCAATCTTCATAGACCAATAATTCACCTCATTTTCCACCTTTTATTAATGTTCAGATACATGTATTATATGCATAAAATATTTGAATGAAAAGAGGTGTAATCTGCTTCTTTTTTTTCCTTTTTGTTTTTATAAATTTATTCTACATAGAGTCAAATAAGGTGATTCTATTTACATTCAAATAGTAACTCAATACGCTTAACTAAAATTTTGAAATTTTAGTTTTTATTATATAATAGAAACTAAAATTTCTAATTTTCTATTAGAGTATATATACCCTTATATAAATTTACTAATTAGGACAACACACATTAAACTCTCTTTTTTTTTTATCATGGTATATCTTAATCACTTATATGTATTCTTCATATTCAAACATTTTCGTCTTCTTCCTTAAGTTTCAATTATTTTCCCTTCATCTTTTTCTTCACTCCAAAACTCTAATCCACACCACAAAAACTCACCATTATCATCAACTTTATTGTTTCTTCTCGTCCCTTTCTCTCTACAAACTCACAAACCTTCTATCTCTCTTCAATCTCCTTCGCCACTTTATGTCTCTACAAATCTTCTCTCTCTTCAATCTACAATTGGAATGGATTCTCTTAACCAGAAATTTCAACAAAAGTTGATGAATATATCAATGAATCAAGCTCAAAACCAGATTTTAAATAACAACAATTAACACAGTTTTCCAAAATGGGTAGGTAAGCAAACATTACGTAGAAAAAGAGAGGTCAAAGAGAGGGTTTTCCCCGAGAGGCTCGAACGGGAATCTATCGAGAAATTTGGCAACACAACCCCCTTCAAAACCAAAATTATTTTTAGGGCAATTGTTGACGAACATGATAGGAACGAACATACCCACGTTAGCCACCACAATCAATGGAACCAACAAAGTCCACATCGTCTCTATTGAATCTAGGTAGTATGAAGGCAAGTAATGACTTGGTCGGTTTGTATTGCCTCTATTCTTTGTACCTACGTTTCATCTTCTTCTTCTTCAACATTTGTCAATGACGAAAGTGGAGGAGTACCATAGCTAAGAAGAGATGAAGAAAGGGAAGAAGTCTTTTTCGAATTGATTTGTTTATTATTTGAGTGTATCACAAACTATGATATCTTGAAGGATAATTTGTGAAAAAATATAGGGTGTACTGAGAGTAAATTATTACCCTAAATAATTTAATAGAGAGTACTGAGAAATTGGGCATGTTGAATAATTTTTTAAGTGCAAATAGAATCACTCACTCAAATATATCGTACTAAATAATTTTTTGGATGCAAATAGAATCACCCACTCAAATATGAGTATTGATTACAAGTAAATGTAGCAAACTCAACCCAAACCCATGATGAGCCTATCTAATTATACTCATTTAAAACTTATATAGACCTGCTCAATCAATAAATAGGCTTAAACGGGTTGCTCATTATCAGCCCAATTAAAATTGGGTTTACAAGGGTTGGACATGGGTACCCATTTAAACCGATCTAAATGGGCACAACTTCTACCACCAATCTACCTCCACTACTGCCACTTCACTAGCATCACCACCATCACCACTCCACCACAACCACCTCCATCACCTCATTCTCTATCACGAAGAGTAGAGCTGCGCGGGATTTTTTTTTTCATATGGGAGTGCCGAGAGTAGGACTATGATTTAAGTACTTGGATTATTTGTTTTGTTAAATGGATTTTATTAGTGGACTTGGTGGATAATTTCATATGATAAGAATAATCAATTTTTTTTTATGGATTTTAGTATTATGATAATTAAGGATTTGATTGGAGTATTTTACATTGTTAGTTATGTGTTGGACTCTTAGCCTTGCATGCTCACTTAAATGAGTGTGCGGCGTTGTCACGGAGCTTGGGACGTGACACTACCACTGCCAATCCACCACCATCACCACCACCACCACCACTCCTGCCACTCCACCATCACCGTCGACACACCACCAATACCACCTCCTCCTCCACTACTACCACCACCACCACTTCTACCACCACTGCTACACCATCACCATCACTATCACCATCGTCGCCACTCCACCACCACCACTACTCTACCACCACCACTTATGTTCCGACACCCACTTCGTTGTCGTAAAAAAATAATTTATTTTTAAAAAATAAGTAATTTTTTAAATAAAAAAAGTAATTTGTTTAAAATAAGGGCACTTGATCTATAAATCCAAATTTTAATTTTGTTTGGCCAAAAGTGCACACTCTAAAATACTTTGGCAATAAAGACATGTCTAGACGAAATGACCAAAATACCCTTGTATATATATATATATATTGTATCCCATCTCTCTACAACTATTCCTCTCTCTCTCTCTCTCTCTCTCTCTAAAATATAGCGTCTGTGAACCACGGCCTCTCAATCCTCTTATATCTCAGTCCTCACACCCTCTTCCTCCATCGTCATCCGTTGCCACTAACCACACCGTAGAATCTCTCTCTCTCTCTCTCTCTCTCTCTCTCTCTCTCTTTGATTTAGATCTTAGATCTCAAATCTCCCTCTCAGTCTTCTTAAATCTCAGACCTCACATCCTCCTCTTTCGTTGTCCTTATCCGTTATCCACCGTCCACTGTCCACCGCTGTCCACTGCCGCTGACTACATCGTTGTTATCTATTGAAAAGAGAGTGTGAAACACACAACAAAAGTATAAAATGAACTCTCTCTCTCACTCTCTCTCTCTCTCACACACACATTCCTTTCGAATAATTTTCTTATTTCATGGTGAGAAATCTTGGGTTTGCAAATAACAAAGAACATTCAAGTATTCCCTATTTGAGTCCAATACTTAGATTAGAAAAATGATTTCATGGTGAGAAATCTAGGGTTTGATGGTACATAGCACAAATTTATTTGTTTGTATAAGTCTGATATTTTGATCTGAGACTAAGATCTAATATTTTGATCATTGGTTAACTAAGATCTGATATTTTAAAATGGATGTTCAAAATTGGAGCTTTTGATCTTGGGTGACTCAGATCTGTTAAAATGGATGAATAACTATTTAAAAAATATATATATCTTATATTTTTTTATTTTTTTTTGTTATTTTTTATCTTGGTTGTTGTTGTTGTAATTATATATGTTTAAATTTGTTTTTTTTTCTTTTTCTTTTTTTGTTTGTGCTATGAAGAAGATGATATTGAACATATCACAAACACAAATATATTTGAAGTGACCAAATAGTTTTCAATTTGGTCTTGTGTTCTTTAATTAGTGAACAGATAAAAAAAATTATTGTTGTTGAATTTGAATTTTATTTGTACAGATAGTGGGAAGAGAGATAGGAAGAATTTGAACAGATAAATTTTTTAACAAATAATTTCAACAGAAAGAATTTTTTTAAAAAGATAATTTGAACAAATAGAATCTCAACAGATAGGAATTTCAACCAAAAGAATTTTTTGAAAATATAATTTTAACAGATAATAAAATGTGGATAGATATTTGAACAGATAAGGGAAAAAGATTGAACAAATATTCAAAAAATTAAACATATAAAAAAAATTTGAATAGATAGTCAAAAAAAAATTAAACAGATAGATAAGGGGTAAAATTGGAAATAAAATGTCTTCCAAAAGCAATAAAAGAATTTCTCATCAAATTATTTCATAAATTGTTGATCTCTCACCAACAAAAGATATCCATTAGACCTAATGCCTTATACCCTCTTTAGATTGGACTTTTTACTAATTTTCTCTTAAAATAATTTTTTTTTTTTTTAAAAATAGAAAAATAAAAGTAAGGAAGTAAATGAGTTTGTTGGATTCATTCGTCTAACCCGTATCTAATTTAACTCAACCTGTTTGAGCCTATTTATTAAATTAACAGGTTTGGTTAGATTGTTTTAAATGCATAACCTATTTTAACCCACTTATACCCACCAATTTGCCACCTCTAATTACGAGGATGTGTCCAAGGTTAGAACAGGAAAACATGGATAAATTTCATATTTCTTTTGTTGAGCTCTGTATTTATAAAACTAGATTGGGTAAATTACAAATAGACCCTTTAAATTTTGCTTAAAATATAAATTATTTTTTGTAGTTTTAAAAATTACATCATGTCCCTTTAGCTTTCTAATCGCATAATAAATGACCCTTTTATTAATAAATTATCATGTAAATTAACAATTTTTAATAATATCATCAATATATTCAATTAACAATTCAACTAATTTTATTCGGATAGGAGAACAGTTAAAATTTTTATTTTTCTATTAATTCTGTTAAATAAAAAATTCTAATAATAAAATATTTATAATTTTTAAAATTACAGAAGACAATCCGTATTATAAATAAGCCTCAGGAGGTGTATCATAATTCACCCAATTAGATTTAGGCATAGTTTAGTTTCATAGTTAACTATTTTACTTAAAAATATTTGTCGACTGCAGATTTAACTAAATGTATTGCACTCATATCCCCTACCTTAACCAAACTGTCAATTGTCTGGCATGGATATTTCACATATTTAGAATAGTTCATTGGGAAATTTTAATATACACACCTTTGAAAGGGCGTACCATATTCATCCTTAGTTATATCGTTTTCTTTTTTAATTATGATATTATTTTAATTATAACTCATGAGATATTTAGTTATGCCTCATTTTGTATAGTTATCATATTTATTTTCTTTAGTTATAACTCAGAAAAAATAAAATTATATCATTTTTTCTTTAATTATAAAGTATATATGATATAAGCTTTTTAAAGAATGTGCACCATAGTATTTTCTAATTCATTTAACATCGTTTTTAATTTCCCATCATACATCAACTCTAAGATAGCCTTTGGTTGACTAAAATGATTTTGGGTACTATAGAGTGACTATTCATTGATCACCTAATAAAATAGTCATTTTTTTAAGAATAGAAGACGGTTTTTGCCTATAAAGTAATGCGTTTCTTTTATGTAGTCCCTTAAATTTCAATTTTACTATTTTAGTTGTAGCACTTGTACCCTTTTAAAAGTTTTGAGAAGTGTATTTGAATCCTTTATTTTGTTTTGGGAACCTTTGGTGTTGTTGTATCTTGGTTTTGGATGAGTGAAAATTAATTTAAACTTGTTGGAATTGTTCGTTCACGCTTATTCGCGTTGAAAAGTCGTTTGAAAACTTGAAAATCATATTCTGGGGTCGACATCGGGCTTGGTGGTGTCGACACCTTCTCTTTTGGGTTGGTCGCAAGGGTCGACACCAGTCTGTGGAAGGGTCGACCCTTGTCCTGAATTTGCTCACTGCTTTTTGGTGTCGACACCTGCCTGTGGAAGGGTCGACACCTGTTGTGCAGTCAAGCCTAGTGTTCCAGATTTCTTCTTGGGTGTCGACACCTGCATTGCAGAGGGTTGACACCTGCGACTTTTTCCTAGATTTTTCCACCGGTTTGGGCCTACTTTTTGGGGATATTTTGACTAGATATTTTGGGTTGACTTTGGGGTTTATATCTAATTTTGTCCTAGTACTATATAAAGGCCCTCACTTGATCATTTCTTTTACCTTTTTCTCTCTTTCTCCCCTCTAAACCGTAAAACACCATCTCCATCTCTCTCAAAAGCACTTTTCACTCAAAATCTTTAGATTTACTCTCTTGGAAGCATCTTCTTTCCTTGCTCCTTTGAGAAAGATTGTAGATCTTGTCAAGAGCTTCGTTTTGATCCTAGTAGAAGTTGGTTTCGACAACTTTGGAGTTTCAACCTTTCGCTCATCTTCTCTTCCAAGCTTGAGGTAGGGACATTCTTGAGTTATAGATACAAGTTTTGCTACATTTATGTTGGTTTTAAGAGTTTTCATATAGTTCCTTGTTGATTTCAATTTTGTGTTTTGAAAATGTAGAGATGTTTTAAATGTGGATTGTATCCCAACTCTTTTATAAATCCTAGAAGGTTTTCCTTTGAGTTATATATATATATATATATTTATTTATTTATGAAGTTTTTAGTTGATCTTGTAACTCTCCTTGAGAAATTTCGAAAATGGGTTTGGTGGCTCAAAGGATTGATAGTTTTTGTAAAACAAACTCTACCTTGTGTACATTTAGAGATTTTCTTGAAATTTCAGACAACTTGAGTCGAGATTGAAGTGTGGTGAGATTTTATAAAAGAGATGAACAATGTTAGGTTTTTGCAAAAATCTAGAAATTGGGGGTTTTTGAAAACATGAAGAAAACTATGAAATTCTTTCTTTCTTGCGTTAAACAAGTAAATGAGTGTGGATTTCACAATGTGATATAAAGAAATGATAATTTTCATGATATAAGAGAATGGAGGACTTATTTTCAAACTATTGTCGAATGTATGGAAATATTTAAGTGGAAGATGATAATTGTTGTGCATTATGGATTGTGAAAATTAATGTTTGAAAAACATTACATGTTGTATTGATGAGACTAAATTGCTAAGAATTGTGAAAGGTGAAATTGTGGCTAAGTGTAGATAACATGTGGTTATCTTTGGAAAGAGTAATGAAAAGAGGTAATGGAAAAATGTGATTGTTGATGTTATTGTAGAGACTTGGAAAATGAGAAGTATTTATGAAGTTATTATATAATACATGAGTATGCATGATTGAGGAATGGGAAATTGGTATGTACCATAAATTACGGGAATTGCTATGAGTTAAAGGTATATATATTATTTTGTGAAATAACATTGAAGAAAGAAAATGAGAAATGTATTTATTCAATATTGTTGTCATGTACTTGAATGGAGAAATGTTTAGAGTTGTGGAAAATCATTGCATTGCATATGCATTCAATTATTATTTTTGCATTGTAAATTTTGATTGATGATATTTATTTCATGGAATAAAATAAAGTTGTGATATGAATTATGGAAATGTGAAAAGGGGTAAATACGATGGTAAGTCCAATTAGGGGGTATAGATGAATTTTGTTAAGTTGGCCTGAGTGTCATTGGTGAAAGACCAGAAAGCTGCACGGATAGGTGTCGAGCCTTCCGGTTAATCCCGGTAAAAATGACAGTTTGGTAGTACTCGCAGACTCTACTTGCAGACACCAGCCTAGGGATTACCAGTGTCGTATTTACAGCCCCTGTTGATTAAGATTGGAAGTTTTTGAAATGTGATGAGATTGCAAGCTTTTGTTGAAAAATGGAAATCTTTGAGAAAAGTATGAAATGAAAATTTCTTTAAAAAGAGCATGGCACAGCATCGTCATTTGCATTTTTAGTTAAAGTGGCATAACTATATATACTTTGTTAGAATTCTCTACTGGACTTTATGCTCACCCCTATGGGACTTTGGTGTAGGTAAAGACGTGATGATCCCACCAAGTTGACGGCGCGGATAATTGTAAAGAGTATAAAGCTCTTATTTTGTTGTGATGTTTTTTTGTAAAGCCAAGGGCTAATGTGTATGTGTCCAAGAGACCATTTTGTGTAACCGGGCTATTGCCTTGAAAGATCTAAGCCCTTAAGGGCATTTTATTTGTTTTGAGATTAGATGCTTCACATGTTATAGAACTATGTATTCGTTATGTTGTGAATGTGAATCGCAAGTGAAACTTTTGTATTTAATCCATTTATTGTATATGTGATGTTGGAGGGATTATTGTCATTGATTAATGAAGGATCATTCGTATGGGTAGTTCATGTTGAAATATTTCGGGGCGTTACATTAGTTCTCAAAGTTATCAATTTTGTTCTATATTTAACGTTCATCTAGATTGATTACAGAAAAAAGTATTTTATCTTTGAATAAATGCCAATTTTAGTCCCTATAATATGCGTTTCTTGTCATTTTATTCTTTTACGTTGTGTTTGATTTAAGGATTTGGGTAGGGATTTAAAAAGGAAAAGGGAAAATATAGGTGAAATGTGAATAAAATATAACTACATTTCACTTATTTTCCCTTTTCCTTTTTAAATCCCTACCCAAATCCTACATTTCACCTATAGTTCACGCCCTTTCTTTTTCTCTTTCGAAATCTCTTTCCAATTCCATGAACTAAACAAAGCCATAAGTTTCAATTTTGTCATTTTGGTCTTCAATTCCCAAAATGACAAAATTGAAACTTAAGAGACTAAATTGATAAGGAACACATATTTTGGAGCTAAAACTGTCTTTTATCTATACTCCCCTTATCAAAATAGACGAACATTAGACCTATGATCAAATGACAAAATTGAAACTTAAAGGATTAAAATGACAAGAAACACATACTTTAGTGATTAAAACAATTGTTTATCCTTTTCTAAATTGGTGAATAGTGATTTTATTTGCAATACACATTTCTTTTTTTTCTTTTTCTTTTTTTTACTGAATCAAATTTGGAAATAAGTATTTCGATGGAATAATCATACCATTCCAACATTTATTTCACTATATCGAACACTAACTTAGAAACTAAATGGTATATAAAGCTCCAAGTGCTTGCTTGTTTTACATTTAGGGCATATTTGTTTGGATGGACTTGGCTATGGGATTAGACTAATAATCTAATAAAATGCATAAAGACATAGTATCCCTTGTACAAAATAGAGAACTAAGGAGAGGTTCTGACTATCAATCTCATCGTATCATCCTGTATCAATCCAAACATAGGACAAGATTAACAATCCAAAATGATAAATAATCTTAGGACTGACCTAAAGATGTTAATCCCATAAATCCAATCTGCTTAAACAAACATGGTCTTAGAGAATTGAAGTGGAAAACCATTGGATTCAAGCTCTCTTGCAATTCATAATGTTTATTCGCAAGTCATAGTAGCAATCTGCATGCCACATATTACTAACTCCACGACAAAAATAAAATAAAATAAAATAAAATAAAAGTTATTCTAGTGATTTTTGTGACCTATAATCCCTACCCTATTTTGAATATTGGCCAATAATAATTTGTGGATTGCCATAATGATTATGGCTTACAACAATGATTCATCCCACTAAAAACATCACCACTAATAGCACTAATGCATTAAAAGAGTAAAAAAAAAAAACACAACTCCAAGACCAAAGCATCACATCATTAATGACGGGACCCACTGCCACCTAATTAGTGGGAGCACTAATTAGTGCTCCCAAGCATTTTTCTTATGGCTTATAACTACGACTCTTTATGTGTTTTGTTTGCACTGACTGATTTATCAAAGACTCTCTATTATCTTATTAATTTTTAAATATTTCCCTAAATTTAAGATTTAAACAAAATTTGAATTCTTTAAATATAGTTCATGATAGTAACAATTCGTTCCCACCATTTATGTGATATTGATATTGTTCGCTTTGGGTTTGTGGACTATCATGATACGCTTTGGGTCCATGGTAGGGATGGCAATTTGAAACCGATACGAAGGAGACCCGATCCCTCGACCCCGATTTGAACGATTTTTCCTAAAAAATACCCCCAACAAGATAGGAATGGTTTTCAAAAATTAATCCCCAATCAATTTCGGGCCGAGGACTGTGAGAAGTGTCCAAGCCCGGCCCCGTTTGTTCTCGAAATAATGTATATATATACATTCTGATACTGTTTCTCTCTCTCTTTCATTTCATTTTTTTTCATTTCATATCTCCTCTCTCTCTCTTCCCTCTACTCTTTCTCTCTCTTCCTCACCATCTCTCATCTCTCTCTCCCTCTTACTCACTCAGAGTCTCTCTCTCTGCCTCATTCCCCCTCATCTCTGTAAGATCTCAAAATGTGGTGCTTCAATCGAGGAAAAACCGATATCTCTTCCTCACATCCCTGTCTCTTCCTCACCTTCTCTTTCTCTCCCTCCTTTCGACTGTCGATGACGCTTCCTCTGCCACCGTAGATTGCCGTCTTCGGCCTGTTTCACTGTTGGCCGACCTACAGGACTAATTCGTGAGATCTCGGTGATGAAGATTGTGAAGCATCCCAACATCATTCTAATTAAGATCTACTCTTCCATGGAGACCAAGATCTACTTTTATTCTTCCATGGTTCCAAGATTTTTTTGAACTGATCTATGATTTTTTTTGAAAATTCTTGATCTATATATATATATATGGATTCATATATGATTTTGTTTTTTTTTTTTTAAACATATCTAAATGTCTTTTTTTAGACATTTCAGCTCACAAATTTGTTAAATAGTATCAAATCTAAAAAATGCTAGATCTGAATAGTGTTAGAATTTATTTTTTGTTAGACATTTCAGCTCACAAATTTTTAGATTTGAATAGTGTTAGATTTGTTGAATAGTGTCAGATCTGGAAGATGATGATCTTGTTGTGATGTTATGTATCTCACAAATTGTGTTTGGATTTGGATATGTGTTTTGTTTGAATAGGTCTTCATTCACTGATTTGGATTTGGATCTCACAAATTGTTGAATAGGTCTTCATTTGGATCTGTGTTTTGAATCTGGATCTTCATTCTCTGATTTTTTATTTTTTTTTTAGTCGGGAAATTTTTGGGATCGAGGACGGAGACGAGGGAATTTGCACCATCGAGGATCAAGGACGAGGGATATGATCCTCGGCCTCGCCCCGGCTTGTTGCCATTCCTAGTCCGCCGACCATCACAATTTTATCTTTATGGTCTCTCAGAAAAAAACCTCACATAGTTGAGGATCGACTATTCCATATATGGTTAGTTAGACTATTAGGCCCGTTTGTTTCGTTGGATATAAAATGGAGGATATAATATGATGTGGGATTTAGTCAGGATATATAATGAATAAGATATAAATATTGGATAGTATATCCCCCAAGTCATGTTTGTTGACTTGATATATAAGATTGGATATATGTTATGCATGTTTGTTTTACAAAATATATTGTGGGATATAACAAGTAATTTCCAAGATTGCCCTCATAATATTATATTATATTAAATTAAATTAAATAATATTATATTAAATTAAATTAAATTAAATAATATTATATTAAATTAAATTAAATTAAATAATATTATATTAAATTAAATTAAATTAAATAATATTATATTAAATTAAATTAAATTAAATAATATTATATTAAATTAAATTAAATTAAATAATATTATATTAAATTAAATTAAATTAAATAATATTATATTAAATTAAATTAAATTAAATAATATTATATTAAATTAAATTAAATTAAATAATATTATATTAAATTAAATTAAATTAAATAATATTATATTAAATTAAATTAAATTAAATAATATTATATTAAATTAAATTAAATTAAATAATATTATATTAAATTAAATTAAATTAAATAATATTATATTAAATTAAATTAAATTAAATAATATTATATTAAATTAAATTAAATTAAATAATATTATATTAAATTAAATTAAATTAAATAATATTATATTAAATTAAATTAAATTAAATAATATTATATTAAATTAAATTAAATTAAATAATATTATATTAAATTAAATTAAATTAAAAAATTAAATTCAATAATATTATATTATATTAAATTCAAAATTTGTATTAAATTATATTATATTAAATTAAATTAAATTAAATAATATAATATTATATTATATTAAATTCAATAATATTTATATTATATTAAATTCAATAATATTAAATTAAATTCAATAATTATATTATATTAAATTCAAAAAAAATATATTAAATTATATTATGTTAGATAGAAAAAAGGGTAAATTGGACTTTTTACATCATATCCCCACCAAGGGGATATGATATAATGGGGGGGGGGGTGTGGTATTGTATATCCTCCACTTTTGGGGGATATACAATCCCACCGGATATTATATCCCCTTCAAAAAAAAATTGCAAACATGGGATATATGGACCCCACCGGATATAATATCCAATCCCAATCTTTATATCCCCCAATCAAACAGGGCCTTAGTATCTATCCAATATGGGACTGGGGTATACCACATGTCAAAATCAAAATTGAATACACGTTGTATATGCATTCTTTATTTTGGTTTTTTTACATAAAACTTGAATTTTTTGCCTATTATCAATAATTTCTTAAATTTCATGCATTTTTTTAATATATATAATCTGAATGATTCCATGCATTTTATTTGTGATTTCATGTTGCCTGATCATTTTCTCAAATTCTTATATACAAAACACTTGAACTCCCATGTTTTTCTCTCTAAATCCTTGTTACAGGTTAAGAGAGAAGACCATTATTGCTACTGTAACTTATGATAATGTTGGAATAATGAAGTGGGGGTTAAAGTAGACATTGACAAAGTTTGGGCTAATATTTGATAATATTGTTGTATAAGTAGATTGAGTGGCTGTGATGTGGTACTATTTGTGATGTTGGCTTGGTTATGTACTTTGTTCTACTATGTTTTATGTTTATTTTATTGATTGATTTTCTTTTTATCATTAGATATAGAGAGAGTGGATTCATTCATATGTTTGACCACGGACAAAGAAAAGCATGCCTGAGTGTTATTATTTAAATTAATATTAATCACTACTTATGATCTACTCTCCAACTATTTATATCACTTAAATATTTTGTCAAAAATCTTTACTTTTTACGTATCTTTATGTGTCATGTAATTCTAACATTATTTTAAATATGATGAATTATACATATATATACACTAGGGCTGGGTACATGCCTTGTGCAAATTTAAAAAAAAAAGTACTATGTTTTTTTTTTAAATGACTACACATCACA